TTAGATGCCAAACTAACGGTCATCTAGGAGCTCAGGTCTCCAGGGGCAGAGATGCACAGGAATCTCGGCAGCACCCAGAGGCAGCAGAATCTAGGACCAGAGCTTTGCAGTCTCCAGTGGCCCACACTCGGCTAGGCCAGGCTTTCTGGGTCCTGCCTTGTGACCGGAAACACCTGGAGGGCTTGTTCCACCTGCACATGCCAGGAGGTACCCTTGCCCCACTGAATCCGAGAGCATATCAAGGGAGTTGGACCTCTGAATTTTTCACAGCTGCCCAGATGAATCTCATCACAGGGCCCCCATGGGGCTCCAATCCGCTGACCAGTTTCAGGGTCCTCCCACCTTTCCTTGCCCTCTTTCAATAGCCAGGCTCATGGCCCCGTTGGCTGATCAGACCCATAGCTGACTGCTTTGGTAAGGGCCTACCTCAGCAATTCTCCACCCAGAGAGAACAGCAGAATTACTACCTACAGAGCTTTATTAAAGTGAGAAGTTTGGGTCTCACCCAGATCAACTATTTCAGAATCTTTGCAACTGAGGGCTAGGGCTGCTTTCTTTGAAATTCCACAGGATTCTGATGGGCAGAGGTGAGGACCACTGCCAACCTGTGTCCATTCAGAACCCTGGGGAAAGGCCCCAGCCTGCATGGGAGCAGAGGAAAGGCTCAGGACTCAGGGTGTCACCAGAGATCATAATATGCCCCCTCTCCCACCAAGTGCCTGCCCAACATCTTAGATGCTGATAGAAAGCAGGCACATGCCACAGAGGGGTTTTAAAATGCACTTCTCTGGGACAAGGGGATGGATGGATTTTCCATCAAGATAAAGCAAAACAAAGGAAATGTTGGGTCTGAACTGTCATATGGCATTGTGTGCACCCCCACCAATCAGTCACTCCATACTTCTGCCATCCTATAATCTCACCCAAATGCCCTTCTACTTGTTTACCCATCTCTTCAGTCCTGTTTAGTGGGCATGTCTTCTCTGCTCGTGGACTCCGGAGCATCTAGGACAGTAGTTTGTTGCATCCTCATGTCCCCAGAGCCTATGTGGTCTCAGGACACACAGATGCTCAGTAAGTGCTGAGCAATCAACATGCTTGTCTCATTCCAGAGCTTTTCCCACCGTCCCACTTGTGTGCATACATAGGATGGTGGGCATGGCAATCAGGAGACCGGGAGAGAACACAGACTTCCCTAAGGGAAAATGTCTGGCACACTGATTTCTGAAGAGCTCAAATTACTGAAGACCAAAGAATGTGAGTGATTATGTGATATCTGGTCATCAGCTCTAACTCTCAACATCAAAGCCAAAGCTCTGGGCTAGGGCTGCAGCTCACGGGTAGAGTGCCTGCCTGGCACGCACGATGCTCTGGGTTCAATCCCTAGCACACTCACAAAAAAAAAAAAAAAAAAAGAAAGAAAGAAAGAAAAAAAAAAGCTGATGATCTTGCACTGTTCATCATGTTTCTCTCACATGTATCAGGCAATACTTTGATAACTGCCTCCGTGTGCCTTTTATTTTCTGTCCTGTGCTGAAATAAGGAGTGAGTTTAGAAGTAGTAGGAAATAAACTCTCTCTTTGCAAATAGACTCCTATGACACTACTAAAAAAAAATCTGCATAGCAAGCTTCATGCTAATAGCTTTCCGTTATGCTGGTCTAATGATGCCCAAGCTCTTGCAGATTCATTATGTGCCCACTTTGCGAACCCTTTTTATTACTATGCTGTCTTTTTTTTTTTTTAATTAGTGCTGCTTTGGATTCAATGTATAACTTGATGGGTAACTTAAAAAGAACACCGTAGGAAGTTCTGTTCTCTATAAGGTCAAGATTGTTCCTGTTATTGCATATGACACCTTTCATACTCCTCTGAATTTTATTTTTCCTTAAACTACATGAAAGACTTTTATTTTGGTGTCCTGAGTTAATAGTAATTTAGAAATTGCATTGGACTTAGTTGCATATTAAATCTATACTGGGGTCTTGTGATGTTCAAGAACATCTTACAGAGTCCTGGAAATAATTCCTGGAATGAGCAGGTGGAGAGCCCTGGACACTCACATGGTAGAGATGGCATCATTTAGTATCTTCATATTGGCTCAAACACAGCAGCCTGAATTTCTGCTTTTTTATTTCTAGTTTAGATCATTTCCTGAACCGATGTTGTAATTTTTTACTATCTGTATCAGGATTTCAATGAATCTGTTCAAAGAGGGGACTCTCTAGAATCTATGCATATGACTGAAGATAGCACCCGGTCAGCCTGCAGGCCTCACATGCTTGGTAATCTCAGAAAACTGTTGATACTTGAATGACTGAGCCCAGGGTCCTTCGACCTTTCTTTGTTTTCAATGCTTGCTACCAAAATGTATAGCAGTAGGTGTTCTGAGGCATATGAGATGGACTTTCAAAATGCAATAATTCATGACCAAAAGAAAAGGGGGTCTTGGAATGTACCCATACAAATAGCAACAGCATGTCCTCCTTTATCTCTTTTCCAGCACAAGCATGACTTCATCGTGAAATCCAGGTGCAAGGTCCTGATGTCACTCTGTCTTTGGTTACCACAGAAAGGCAGTTTATCCCCCAAAAGCCAGAGAATGGAGCACATTGCTTCTATAAGCCATTTACTAAGTCAATACGCTAAGCAATGACTACATCTTTCTTTCTAAATATGCAGCAGTATTATGCATTTAGCAGTATTATTCCTTCAACAGATGTGTCTTTTCATAGTCTTCTTCCCTTCTTAGAAACCTCGAGTTTTTCTTAATTGTGTGCTTATAAGCTGCAACGGCTTTGAAAGGTATTTCTGAACACACCCTGGCATCGCTCCATGCTGAGAGATGAGTGACATGAAAACCCCAGCATCATCGGGAACGGGAGCAGCGAGCTCCTCACATCAAGCACTCAATTAGCTTGTATTCTTTGAATAAATATGCTCTGTAGCCGATGCAGTCGTCCTCAGTGCTTTGATAGCCAACGCTTTGGAAACACCTGGAAGTTACTCGAATGTGTCTTTATTAGAAGTACAATAGGTAAGCAAGGAGCCCTTCACAGGTGGTCAACAGACTGTACAATGTGACAGCGAAGACACTGAAGGTCATGTCCGATTCCCTTCACATTAGTGTTCTGAATAACTAAGCATGTTAACCAGTGTTTTGCTCAGCACTTCCATTTATCAATCATAGGAAGCATTCACAAAGAATCAATATCTAAAGCACAACAGGCGACTACTAAACTTTAATGATTTCCTCAATGCTGAGTGTTAACAAAGGAAAACCTTGCTATTATATTTTTTTTGAAAGGCACCAATGGTAGCTGGCAACCAAATTGATACTGTATTTTTTTTCTTACTAAAAGTATAATAAGCTCTTGGGTCACCTTCAAAATATGGTCACATTCTTTCCCTGGAGTAGAGTTACCATGGGATCAAGTGACTGAGAAGGCTCAGAGAGGAAATAAAATGACTGCTCAGCAGGAACAGTGTGGCACTGCCATCCTCGCCTGCGTCTCTGCCCACAGCAAGGTCATGGAGATTCAGCGTGAGCCCAAGGGGTTCCACAGCAGCACACACTAACGGGCATGACCCTGGCACATGCCCGTGTCTGTCTGACAGCTGCATGTGTTTCAGCGAGAGCTCAGTAAGTGACCTGTCCAGTTCTGCAGGAGAAGCCTCGCCCTCTAATTTCCCACTGAGTCAGGAGGTCAAGTAAGAATTTCACTGATGTTTTTAAATAGTCTTGGCTCCAACCGGCGAACGTGGGTGAGGATTTTGGAGCTCCTGGCAGGGAGCTGCAGGTCTCCAGCTGCTGCTGGAGGGGGGGAATTTTAGAAGAGACTTCTTCAGCTGCCTGCAAGTGATGTCGGTGAGGTCTCTTTGCAACGGTTCAACAGAGGAGCTCGTGCACAAATGTGCAAATGGAACTATGGTATCTGATGATAACAGCAGGAATTGGCTTCTTTCTTTTATGGATAGGATAATTGACTTTGGGGTCTGTTGGGAAAAAGCACTTGCTCCTATGAATAAGTTATTTGGACCCCCTTTGAACAGCTCTTAGAAAAAGTGAGAAGGCAGCTGAACACTACAATTGCCTAAGCTCAGAACCTGAGAATGAACTCCTCATTATCCCTGTCCTTGGCTATTTTTTCCAAATGGGGTATGAGGAGGAAGGGGAGGAACTAGGGTTAGTTGGCTGCTGTGAATGAAGGTTTTGACTGATTCATCCCAATGGTGTTCTTTGCTTGGTGAGATTTTGGCACTCGGGTTAAGCTGCACCACACAGTGTGTTATTGTAGCCTCACCCCATCGGTCCTCTCTCTAACAGGGATCAAGCTTTGCTACACATGAAAGAAACCCATGTGGACCCGGCTCCTTCACTGACTGTGAGCTCCTTGGGAGAAGGAACAGGACGTTATTCCTCTCGGGTTCCCAGGCCAGGGTCCAGATGGGGGAAAGTGCTGATAAATGTAAGTTTAATTGGATTAAACTAAAAGTATTAAGATGAAGTTATCCGAGTCTTGGCTGCAACCCCAAATCCTAAGTCTTCCTATTTTTTGTTGTTTGGTATATTCTGCAGACTAATGTGGAAAAAAAAAAAGAAGAAGAACAGAGAAATTGGCTCTTTGGGAGCTGAAGATTCTGTATCTTCTTCAATGCTACCTTTTCATTCTAAATTTTTTTAACCCTAAATGAATACTAATGTCTTAGGGGCCTTAGTAAGATCCAATGACCCTGGGTGCAGGAGCCCTGCCATTGCTTGCCTGAAATCTGCCTTAACTACTTACTTAAGCTGTGTACTTTGAAAATAAAAAACAAAGCAAGTTTAATGTTTTTACAGAGACTTTTGTCCAAAAGATCTTTTAAATGTAAATAAACTCATTTTGTAAATGTCCACATGTAAAAATCCAAGTAGCAAATATTCTCCTTTTTTACATTTTAAAAGGGTGATTATTTCCCTGCCTCTTTTGGCCAGTGTCCCCACTTCTATACACACACACACACACACACACACACACACACACAATGATTAGCTTATCTCTGAGAAGGCAAATCCAGGAAGGGAGAAAAGTGGAATTATAATGGGATGATTTGATTACGGGCTAATATCTTTAGCAAAGCCATGCAGAGAGAGGGCTGTTGGTGGGAGAGGGATGGGAAAGAAGGTTGAAACTACACACTGAAATCAGTTCCTTTTTATTATCTGAAAGACATCATGCCACCCCTGTTACTCACCTCCAGACACAAACACGAGCAGTTTAATTTACTACCTTTTAGGCATTTTTTAAAAGGAAAAACTCCTATGACTGTTTCCCTATCATTTGAGGGGAAGGCTCTGCCTGTTTTGGTCCTTTGACAATGAAGAGCCCAGCTCCCCCTTGCCCTTTGGTCCCAAGTCATGCTCAGAGACTGACATATGTCTTGCTTCTTGCCACCTGGTCGCAGGTTGCCAATACAAGGGTAGAAACCATCTGAAACCGGATGATGACCATTGCTTCCTACTGGACACACGGTACAAACTTAGTAAATATTTTGACTTTTGAATTACATCAAATCCCAATCTGTTATTCACTCTACCTAGGGCTGAATCTCATTGCTCCTTAGAAGAACTAGATCAGTTTGGTTCTCCTTAGTGAAAACCAAAAGCCTGCTTCAATTTTTTGTTTAGAAGGAGACGAACATAACATCCTGGAGGTTACTGTGAACCCCTCCCGTGGATGGATGCTCGACAGCGATACAGCAAACAGTAACAAAAGCATTGATAAATACCAACAGTTGGAGAAGGCAGCTGAGACTTAGAGGAGTACCCCAGTTGACAGAATCCAGATGAGCTGGCTCCGAGTCTCACCTTTGGTGCCCAGTCAGCTGTGTTTTTTGTCCTTCAGGTAGCTGAAGAGCATCTCCAGGCCTCCCTCCACCAGCTCGGGCAGGGGCTTGGATAAAGGGTTATGGGAAATGTGGAGCCCTTTGTCCATGGGATTCCAGGCAATCCTTGCCAACCTGTTCAGCAGGTAGAGCTCCCCCGGGAGGGTCTGGATGTCATTGTTGTTTAGGTTCAGCAGCTCTAGGCTCGTGATGAGGCAAAGGGACCTCGGGAAGGAGTGGATGTTATTGCTCTCGGCAATGAAGATCTGCAGGCTGGCCAGGCACTGGATGCTCTCGGCGATGTTTTCCAAGCGATTTGAGCCCACATGCAAGAAGTCCAGCTCCTTCAGTGAGAACACACAGATGGGGATATGCGCAAAGTAGTTGTTGCTGAGGTTCAGCTTCTTCAATCTGGAGAGGTCGGAGAAGCTGGCGGGAAGCTGGGACAGGCAGTTGTGCGACAAACTCAGCACTTCCAGGCTTCTGCACAGGCTCAGCTCAGCCGGCACCTCGGTCAGGCAGTTCATGTTGACAAACAGGACCTTGAGGCTCTGGAGGAGGCTGATTTCTCTGGGCAGACTCTTCAGGCGATTGCCACACAAATTGAGGACCACGATGTGGGTCAGTTTCCCCACCTCGGGAGGGAGAACCCGGAGCTGATTATGAGACAGATTGAGTTTCTGGACCTCGGACAAGCCCCACAGAAAATCTGGGATGTCCGTCATCCCTTTGGTGACCAAGCTGAAGCTGACGTGGCGCATGCCCCGCTTCAACAGCGACCGCGGATCCTTTCCCAAGAGTAGGGTATCATCCCATGAAGAAAACCTCTGTCTCCTCCCCAGGAGCATCTTCTTGGGGTCCTTGTCCTTGGGGTTGGCTCTTGACTGCCTGGCCCCCATAGTGTCTTCCGTGCCCTTCTCTCTTCTCTGCCACCTTCAGGGTTGAGAATTTGTCCTGCCCCAGTTGCTAAAATCCAGACTGCTGCAGGCAGGGGCAGTATGGTGACAGCAGACTTGTGACCAGGAGGTTGCAGTGTGGATAGAACTGACAGGAGAGTCCCGGTGAGACTTTGCTTGTGTCCAAGACTGGTTCCTGGGTGGCTCCCGGAGAGCTGTGCCTGTCCCCAAGGGTGGGTTTTACAGAGTTTCTGTCTGAGCAGGCAGGCTGTAATGATATACTTGTCCCTGAGGCTTCCAAACAGAACTACTCAGTTCCCTCTGAATGCCACAAGGCAGCTGTCACTGTCATTCTGCCTGAGTTTTATTGACCTGGTATGTGCAAACAGGTCACAGGGTGGCTGCATATAACTTTACCCTCTCGGCTTTTCTTGAGTATCACAGTTGAGCAAGGCGAATAACAATCTCATCTCTAAAAAAGAAGTGAAACTGAAAAAAACGAAGCCATCCATGCCAACAGCAGTCTGCAGGGTTGTGGGAACTCACCCTGGACAACTTAAAAGTGTGACCAGGTTAGGTCTAGTGACACAGCTGAGTGTCCAAAGCTAAAGATCATCAGATGATGTCATCAGCCCCACTGCAAATGTTGAAGAACTGTGTATTTGTGGGAAAGTAACAAAAGCAACCCAGACACTTGGAACCTCAAGGGCAAGAGGATTTTACACTACAGCTTGTCAGAGGTGATTTAATGAGGAGGGTGTAAAGAAGGGTCTAGACCTCCAACTCCTGTTTCATCCTGGTTCTTCTGTTTCACAGGGGCCTCTGTGAGTTTTGCAGGATAATTCTAAATGCTTAGTAATCACAGGCGCCCATTGTTCCAGAAGGATATGTGAACTCTACCTGGCTACATCTTTCTCTCTCCTAGAAAAAGTTAACTTATACCCCAAGTGTGCAAACCACACCTTGTACATCACCCCACTGCAAATGTGTCATGTTGAAATCCTAACTCCCAGTGCCCCAGAATGCGACAGTGTTTGGAGGAGGGCATGGAAGACACAAGGTGAAGACCACCATCTGCAAACCCAGGAGAGAGGCCTCTAAAGAAACCGATGCCTGATCTCAGACTTCTAGTCTTCAGAACTGTGAGAAGTTAATTTTTTGTTGTTTGAGTCTGGTACTTTGTTCTAGCAGCCTTGGCAAATTAACCCAGCCGGGAAGGGGACAGACACTCGTGTAGGTGAAAAAAAATTCTAAAAATAGGCAGTGATTAAAGAGAGAAGGAAAAGCAAGGTGATGACATGGGTTCTGAGAAAAGGGCTGGTGGTCCATGTCTGGGGCTGATTTGGCCCGGAAGCATGTGGGTTTTGCTGGCAGCTGCACTGGAGAGTAATGCTGCTCTGTGCCCCTGACCTTGAAGAACTATCCACCAGCCCAGGAGCTCCAGCTGGTCCTTGGCTGGGTGCAGCCCAGGAACCTGTAAGTCCGGCTCCATTGAGGGGGTGTCTCTGGGCAGGAGGAGTGGCAGAGGGTGAGGACAATGGGAAGCCCCTTCTCTCTCTCCACTTGGCATTGAAACATCTGACCCCTTTGGACTGAGTCAGTCCCAGAATTCTTGGATAAATGTGAAAATATTGGGAGATACCCCTGGCTTGGGGCATTTAACTAGACCTAATATAATAATAATAATAATGCTAAAATTTGTACCCTAAGTTTTTGGAGCATACCTTGTCTACATAAATTTTCTAAGACAATACAGGTCTACTGTTAAAGAAAAAAAGTTTTGCTTCTTCTTTCCTTACTGAACATGAGAAGTTGTACTGGGGCACCTGAAACATGAGGAGTGGCAGGAGCTGAGATGTTCTGAGGAAGAGGCAACAGCTTTTTTTTCAATTTTTTTTTTGTAGTGATTATTTTTTTTCTCTTTTCTTAATACATTTTCCCAGTAACTATTTTTGAGCACTTATTCACAGTCAATAACTATTAAATGTTTACTTTGTGAAAGTAATTGTAGAATTGCTTTATTTTCAGGATGGGTATTAAAATTCTCTCAAGTTTATAGATAAAAAAAAAAAACAAAGAGAGAGGTCAAGTTACTTACGCAGAATCAACTCAGTTGTTCAAGGTCAAGTGAAGAGTCAATGACAGAATCAAACCCTGTTAGTCCAAGCTGGGAACCACAAGAAGACTCTTGGCTTACACCTGTAGACTTAAAATAACTGACAAGGACATAGTTCCTTATTTTCAAGTACTTTGTAGGGTAGGGCTACTTCATGCGTGGAAATTAAAGCATAATTAGTCATTAACCGCACTCACAACCAAGAAGAGTAAAATTAAGAGTAGTAGATTTTGATTCCTTCCAAAAATATTTCTGGTATTCTGCAGTGTGGTTCTCAAGTATCCAATGGATAAGCTGTGTAAGTAGCTGATTTGGTTTCTTCTAGCTTTTTGAAATGCAAATACTGTCCACTTAGTGGATCCTGGTTATCCAGTCAGGACACGACTCACCTAGGGGATGTTGGTTGTTTGGGGCCTCCGTTTCTTCCTCTATGAAATGGGGCTGTCTGGAGCCCCTGAATTGCCTGGAGCTCCTGTCTACTCTGTGAATCTGATTCTCACTATAAACAGGACTTCTGTGGAGAATGAAAGGTCACATTTCATCCTTTGGGGGCGAAAAATACATAAAATTGGAGACAGGTTTCATTTTGGTAACTCTGATGTTGATTTCTGGGGAATATATAGCAAAAAGGAATGGTATGTTTTGCTAGCAGAAACTCCTCAAAGCTCTCTCAATGGGAGGGACAAGCCACAAAAATGAAGCACCGTTGAACCATTTTCTGAAATTCCAAGGCCTGGTTAGGAATGTGATTGTCTTTAAAACCTAAGGCAGCTATAGAGTAATTGAAACACACTGAGATAGGCCCAATGTGGTGGCTGCATTTTCCCAATTGATTATTATTCCAAAATATAAAAGTTATCATAGATTGTTTCTTTAATGCAAAGTAAAATAAGACTGAAATGATAAATATAAAAGAAGGGCTTACGAAGACATCTGAAGCTACTCCTGCATTCACGATAATAGAGTGTCTATTAAAAACAATTCTCTCTAATCTCACAGTGACTTTTCAGCATGCATCCACACGCCTGTTAATTTTAGGAGAAAGAATATGTATGTTCAAGTACTTTATTGAAAGAATCCTTTCACTAACTACAAATTTTTTTAATAGAAAATACACAAAAAGATAGCATCAATCCAGTACACATTTTCATATATAAATCTACATCTTTTTCCTATGCATATCTACCTCAATCTTTTATAAATTTTTTAAAAAAATCTGTGGTAGCCCAGTGCTATGGTTTGCATATGGGGTGACCACAGGCCTCCATGTGCTAGAAGCTTTGTCCCCAGAGGAGAAGTATTGGGAGTTGGTTTGGAATCTTGAGGCGACGGGCCTGGTAGAGGTCAGTTGAGGGTCCTTCCCTGGGAAAAGGATTGAAGAAGTTCTCCAAGGACCTTTGGTAGTTCTTCAGGGAGTTGTAATAAAAGCCAAGTCTTCCCCACCCCCCAGCTCCCTTACTTCCTACCTTACCATGTGATCACTTGCTGTTGCATGTTGTTCCCTGTTGTCATCCACTATGATGAGATGCATTCAAAAGGTCCCTCACCATTCCCTTAAACCTCCAAAAGTGTGAGCTAAATAAACCTCTTTCCATCATTACGATCCTGTCTCAGGTATTTCCTTATAGCAAGGAAAACCTGACTCATACAACCAGAGCTTATGGCAAAAGCTTCTGAGGCTAATGTTTTCTTAAGGAGCACAATCCCAGGTAAGCAACAGAAAGGGGGAGTTTGGAAGTAGGACAAGGAAGGAGAGCAACAAGTAATGCAATCTGAGCTGGTCATATCTCTTTCACCAAGCACAACAACCTGTGGCTAGCTTTTGCCAACATCTGCAGAGATGCCATATTAAACCACTGTGACTCAGAACAATCCATGTCTAAGCATCCTAAAAGACAAACAATAATAAACCCCAAAGTATATTACTAAATTTCCCCAACTTATGCTTATTAGTGATGGTGGATGGTAGGATCTCAATAAATGATCTTTGTTCCCAAAATGGTAATTATCATACACATGGAGTCCCCTACCCATGCCCATATGCATGCCTCTAGAGTTATTTAAGGAACAGTCTCTGTGTGTTTGATTTTCTTTTGTCCTGTTCATGAACTTTACATTTTATTGAAGGTAAATCAAACCTAGAGCTATGATGCTTCCTGCATTTATCTTGCATTCACTTTGTATTTACGGTGTCTTTAGTTAGTGACCACAGTTGTTTGGGATCCTTTCATATGTTCTATCTGATACTCATAAGACTTAGAAGGTTGCTATTATTAACTTCATGTAAATACAAGGAGGCCAGGCTTCGGTGGGGTTAAATGACTCTCCAAGTTACAAAACTAGTTAGTGTCTGTGCAGGGTCAACAATCAGGTCTTCTGATTCTGACTCCTGTTCTCTCTCTACCATGTGAATACCATGTTCTCCTGCAGTTATTATTTTTTTTGTCTTAGTGAAATGGCCTGTTATTATTCTGATTAAAGTAGGCTTCTAGCACATAGCCTATGGGTTAGCAGCACAAGCTCTGGTTGCCTTACCACCTTGGGTTTTAATCCTTGATTTGATACTTGAATGCTGTGTGACCTAGGGCCAGCTACTTAGTTCATCTGTGCTCTGATTCTTCAGATATAAAACCGAGGTGATAATAGTACCTATGGTATAAGGTAGCTGTGGGAATTGAACGACTCAATACATGGAAAACACATAGAGCAGGGCTCCGTGCACAGCCAGGATACCTGATGAAGCATGAAGAAGATGGTCAATTCTGTGGCTGGCCCTGGGCACTCTGGGCTGAGCACCTTCACTAGCACATGGCGAGCTTGGTTGTCTTCTTCCCTGTGGTCTTTCTCATAACCACCCCACATCCAGCTCTGCCTGGGGTCATGCCTGCTTTTATTTGAGTGTGTGAGATTTTAACGCCAGGTTCTCAGGGAGACCCGATCAAACTGCTATTCACTGGAAAACACGCTCCTCTTGCTCCGTTTATTTAGGTGATCATTCCACTCACATTAGCTGTTGACTCAATTAGATGGCGGACTTCTTGTCTCCTCTCTCCCGAGTCCTGGAACAATTCTGAGCATACAGTAGGTGCTTAATAAATGCTCACTGAAATCAACATCCATTTGCACCCTGAAGGGAGTTTGGGGTGAGAAAAGAGCGATGCAGAAGGCTCTTGAACGCCTG